CTCAACGTGACCCTCGACGGTTCATGAACCATTGGGACGTTATCTGGAAGGCCAGTCAGAAGGGGTCTTGTACATTCAGAGCTACTGTCCCCAGGAAGTAATACAGAAATGCCGCGATGCATAGTGAATGATGAATGCGCGGCGCATTCAAAAAGGAGACCGATCAGCGCACACTTTTACCGTAAAGTGCAGTTATCGAAAAGGGGCCTTTAGTCTTACCAAGAGAAGTAGCAAAGAGTAGTGTGAACTGCGAGAACTTGAAGTAAAAAATGGGACATCCAGATACAAAATATTGCGGTGAAAAAAATCAAAATCGTCCCAAGCCTGGGAACCTCGTACTGTAAAGTGGTCTATTTAATCTATTGAAAGAAAAGAAAGGTACGCCTCAGAAAATTCTGATAGCTAAACACGCACACACGAGCGGTAGTCCTACAGGTATAATTCATACTGTAAGCCATATCCCGAAGTCTGATTAGGCGTGTCACCTGAAATGACGTGGTGTCCGCCGACGTGCTGAGCCCAGCGAAGTGTATTGGAAGCGGCTTATCATCTATCAACTATCACTTCTATCAAGTGCGGCGATCGCCAGGGGCCGTAAGCTATGCTTCCCCGAACAGGAAAGGGACCCCTCCTGGTAAGGTATGCTCTCCCCGAAAACTCTCGGGGAAAGGCAATGCCACCGGTTCTCGGGGATGTCTCCCGGACTGCATGTCAATCACGGGGATATCTCCCCGATTGCATGTCAATCGGGGAGATATCCCCGAGAACCGGTGGCGTGGCCTTTCCCCGAGTTTTCGGGGAGAGCATACTTACCAGGGAGGGGTCCCTCTCCTGTTCGGGGAAGCATACCTTACGGCCCCACGTCAAGTCCGTAGACCCGCCTAATCGGATACGAACTGTACGACGAAGATGGGGTAACAAGCAGGGATCGAGAAAAGCTCCGTGAATTAGTTCACCAAGTCAGACCATGGTGTCTCTCGGGTATTCTCCAGAGGAAGAACAAGGGTCCTGTTAGCCGTTTTCGCCAATTATCTTCGACTCATCCTAAACAATGCAACGCTGCGACAATCTATGAGCGCTTCTGTGCGGAACGTGATCAATGCAAGCGTTTTGAGACAACTATTTATTCCGCTGTGTTCCCTCGGCGAACTCAGATATTAGGTCTTCATGGTAAGAAGCCCAGTATCTTATTTCAACTGTTCACGCTATTTCCTTCATCCAGGCCATGCGGAGAAAAAATTACGGGTGCTAACTTAGTTGGGGGGGGGGCACGCGGCGGCGCGGCAGTCTGCTCGCCTGGCATGTTCGGAAATCCGTGGGCCAGGGGGAGTGTAGCCAGCCTAGGGGGGGGGGTGGGGGCAGTCACTTGACATGCGTGAAAAGCTGGAATGTTCGAGTTTACACTGTCTCGCTCGAGAGAGCCCAGGTGAGCAGACTGCCGCGCCGCCGCGTGTGCCCCCCCAACTAAGTTAGCACCAAATTAAGTAACCGGCGACGAGCCAGTTGCTTGACTGGTTGAGGAACATAGCTTCAAGGAGAGGTGATGAACGCTGACCGCAGAACAAGTGTGATTCATGAGTTGGCGTCAAATGTGGCGTGGTGACGTAATCACACCATCCATCACCCGTTCCACGATTCTATAAGTGCGTTGTTTCGCAAATCCTCTTGCTTGTGTTTGACATAAAATTCTTAGCTTATTCTGTACGACTCCCTCAAAAAAAAACGTTAGAGTGAAATTTCTGAAAATAGAGGTGTTCATGCTGCAGTTTATGCGATCTACGACTGTCCCAGCTTCTAGAGAGTTGAGCCCTTCGAAAGATAAATTTATTTTTGTCTTCCAATGAATGGGTAGGAATGCCGAAATCATGCTCTTGCAGCAGTTCCAATTTTTGCAACACAAGGAATCTCGGGGGCGAGTGTAAAAGTGGAAGCGATAGCTTCTCGCCAGCTGCGGTTTCCTCCCTCTGCGAAAATTAGGATTAGTGCAGGAGGAACCTGTTGTGTCACATTCTCCCATCCCCCGCTCCTATATCCCCCATTAACCCCTAGGTGGCTACTGTTTTTAAACGTTTATAGCTAGGGAGATGGTTTAGAAGCCTTGGATGCTCAGTAACAAAAGGGTTCGCTTGGTAGAGAGGTTCTCTGATCGGGAAGACAAACTTGAGCCAGGTATATTTTATTATTCATCTCCATTCCGTTTCGAGGATGCCAGGCTGAATAGGTTATTGTAGCACAATAGGTGCAGTAGTAGGAGAATTGGGCGCAGTATAATTGAAAATCAGTCTTTTTTAACTTTTTTTGGCGGAAGCATTGTAATGTTAAGATTGACATGAAGTAATTACCACACCAGTGAGGTAGGATAGAGACATATTTGTGGAGAGGCAAAAAAACAAAGAAAAAGCATCTGCCGCAGAAGCGATTAGTGAGTGCACGTTGGAATAAAATTTTCAAGAAGTTCTTGTTTGCTCTCTCGTAATGACTATTTTCTATGTTAGGCATGTAGAGCATAACCTCTTTTGTTGGAACCTAAATTTTTCAGATACAATACAGTTCACAAATAGTGCAGCTATGACTGGCGTTGAGGCTGTGTCCAATTCAGAACCTGCTGAAGTCGTTGATTCGAACGTGAAGGACTCGTTCGTCCAGGTCTCAGGTGCCTTTTTTCGGCCTCATATTTTCCTGTAATCGAACTAGTCAAAAATGTCGTTCAGGGCGTGGAGTGCTTCTCAAAACGGTTTTTTGAATTTATTTGGGGCATGTCCTTGGAACTTGCAACGTTTTTTTTTCCTGAGCAGCCTGGGATTGCCAAAAAAGGGCAGAAAACTTCTCTTAGGAAGTGGAGCCTCTACAATTGCAATATGCTCTACAGCATTTGTAGGGTCGAACATTAGAAGGGTTCTGCTCAGTGAGTAAGTTCGGAAATATATGAGCGCAGGGAATTGGAAAAAAGAGAAATGCAGAAACCTGTCTTTTAGGCGGATCGAACCACAGGTCATTGATTCCTTGTATTTTTTGGCATTTCAAGAATCGCTCAGAAAAAATTATCCTCAGTTTCCTGTAACATGTATTCCTTTCCTATAACATGCAAAGTTCATTTCAAAAAACTTTCCGTGTTCTGAAAGACTCCCTGAAAAACGACTCCTTATCATTTGTTTTCATTTTCCAACTTTTATCTATTTGATGAATGGCGTACTTATGGTCCGCACTATCCGAGACCCCTTCTAAGAAATAGCCCTTTTCCTCGCTCAGGGTGCTGTTTCGCTCTGTTCGAAGATGTCACCTGCAGCTTCCATTCATTCTTTGTACCTAGAATACAAGGGCGAGTTAACGAAGTTGTCCTCAAAGAAAATTTTATTCTCTTGGAAGATCGGACACTAAAACATGCTCTCACCCCGTTTGAAGCCGCTCTTCATATAAGCCTTACACAATTCCTGCTCTGTGTGGCGACGTGCGCCACATGATCCACACGCGCGAGAATTTGTGTCGTCCGTTACGTTTTAATGTTGTTTGGCCCATAAAATGGCTTGCTAGGGATAGCCGGTATCAAAGCCAAGGTGTCTTTTCCTTCTTACCATTAGTCTACTACCATTTACAAGACCTCGGGGGTATAGAAGGTCTTCTGTACTTGAGCGAGGTACGGCCCGGCATTTAGCGCTGTTCTGCGGTAACGTGGTGAGCGGTGAGTCGCCTTATAGCACTTCGCGGCTGCTACTCCCATGTGGCTTCTTATTTCTTCACGTCAAGGATTAAGTTATGCTCATTTTTGTTTGGCAGACACTCAACATAGAACATTTTTCAAATAAATATATTTTCGATATTTTCGATAGGATTCTAGTATGACGCCATTCCCGACTCATATTTTCCATCACACATTCAGACCTTGCAAGCAGAGCGGTAGATGATGTTCAGAGACAAAATGAGCTAACGGAGGCGCAGCTCAATCAGATTGAACAGGAGGTAACACATATTTTTCCTATGCAGTTTAGTTTTTCACCGTTTTCTATTTCCAGCAGAAAAAGGTTCCATTAGTTGGGGATCGAGTGCCTTTCGAAATAGTGGTTATGGAGTATGATCCTGTCGAGAGCTCTGAGTATTATACTAAAGCTAAGGTAATGATTTTTGTTTTGTTTTGATCAAAGGCTCTGATTTGCTATAATGTTTCTTTTTTCCTGGAATAGGCTATTTTTGCCAGTCCTGTTGTTTTGTTTATAGAAATATTAAAGTAGTCCGGATTTTAAAACAATCCTTGCAGCCTTTGTTCGTATGTACCGCTCCTTCGGCTGAGGGAGAGATGATATTCCCTTCAATTATTAGTTTTTGTACCCTTTCTTTATATTCGATACTTTTTATTATATTTTCTGATACACACATACCTTTCAAATACTCCAAATACAATCTCCATTGGGCCTTATGTTTAGGGAACAAGTAAATTTGAAGGAAATTTCTCCTCTCATTTCGGTCGGTGGGGTCCTTTCTGTAGTCCTTGGCGGTGCTAGGTTTATGCAGAAGTGGGCATGATTCCTAGGAAGCGTTGCTTACAGATGATTTTACGGCTAAGCATTGCATACAAGAAACCCATGGCCAGGGGATTGTGGACGAATTTACAGTGTGAGTAATGCTATCGTATATGGCAGAAATTGAAATGTGGAGCTCTTTGCTCACGTTTCTTTTGCGTGGGATAATCCGCTAGTCTATATCTGATCAACGTTCGCATTTGCTGTGGACGTTACATGGTAGTAATCCAGGCAGATAGAAAGATTCCCTGTTTTTCGCATATATTTTAGCGTATTTATATCTAAAAATGCGAAACCTCATAAAGGGTGTCCCTTTAGAATGTCGATAGCTTCTAATTTTGCTTTTGAATTGTACAATGTTTAAGGAGACGCAAGGCTGAGCTGTACAATAATGTCGGGAAAATCGATTTTTTAGAGTTTTTTTTATCTTGAAGAAAAATCGGAGATAAAAGCAGTATTTTGAAATATCTAGTTTAGAGGTCATAGAAAGAAAAGGAATTTTGACAGTCAACATAATTCTTTGGCTCCCTTGTTGTTGTTTACTCATAGATGTAGGTGAATTATATAATACAAAAACAGTAGGCTGGTTAAACTTCAATGCTGTCCAACAATTACTATCAAGTAGTATCGGATTCAGGACCTACTAGAAACCTACTCTGATATTCGCCTTATTCGTCGGGATGGTAATTGCTTCTATCGCGCAGTTTTGGTTGCGCAGATTGAACTAATGCTCAACGATCGAGAGGAGTGTGCAAGGTGAGCTTGGTGCTTTTTTTCCTGCGCCGCTAAGAAAGTTTCGCTAATGTATCTCCTTATGTTCTCTAGGTTCGAACAAATAAGCCGTGGATGGCAGGACCGACTTATCAAGCTTGGATACCCTGACTTTACTACTACTGACTTTTGCGAAGTGGTCAGTGGTTCTACCTAATTTGATTCAAGTTGTTCATTTTGTCTAGTGTCGTGACAATGAGTATTTAAGTTTTACAAATGGATGACTCCAATATGGACTCATCAGGCGGACAGGAAAAAGATTTTTGAAGACTTGAACGACGACGGTGAAGCTAACTACCTCATAATCTTTTTGAGGTATCCATCCATTTATTCTTTTTGCGATTTCATTAAGGGCTCGATTAGTTGCGTTTTTTTTTCAGATTGATCACTGCGGGATTCTTGAAGGAGCACTCGGAGGAGTATGCACCGTTTATTGAAGACTGTAGTCTCTCTGATTATTGTACTACAGAGATTGAATCAATGTGGAAGGACGCAGACCATCTTGCCGTCACGGGACTTGTGAACGCCATAGGTTAACTTCGTTTTATTTTTGCATTCTTTTACTTCGCATTAGTTTTTCTCGAGTAAAGGAAGTGCCTGGCGTGCTCTGATTTTCAGTAATCTTGTGGTGTATCGTGAAAGTACACTGATGCGCAATCATAAGGGCGAACGTAGCTTTTCCATGACGCGTTACTGGCGAGTAACATAACATGGAAACAAACCGCACATAGAAAAAGCTGCAACGCAGTACACAAATCCATCTCGGCCTTGGTTTCGCACACCAGTAGTTGTGGCGTGCCCAATGTGTTTAGGGCTTCGGTGGGCACTCAAGGTAATCAAAAATTAAAGCGCTAAAAACCACTTTGGGAAAGTACTTTGTTTCTTCTAAGTCTTGGCCTTCGTAATTTCTTGTATTTGTTAAGGGCAGAGCATTCGAGTGCAATACATGGATCAGAATGCTGCTCCGAACGGCGGTTTGTATTACGACTTCCCTCCTGACCGTACGGAAACGCCTCTTATAACACTTCTTTATCGACCAGGTCATTATGATCTAGTTTATCGCAGGTAAAATAAATTGTGTAAAAACCTCACGAATTCGGAAGCCTTGCATTTGTAATTGTCACAGTAGTCTTGGCCGTCCTTGATCTTTAATATCTCTTTCTTGCTCTTGATTTTTCTCGTTCAGTTCGAATGTGATAGCATCTTTCATGATACAAGCATACTTCCTCGTTTTTAGTGATAGATAAGTTATTTGCTTTCTGTCGTCATAATTTCATTTCGTCTCTATTTTAGACGATATACAAAGTGTTGTATAATATCTTCTAGTCTTTTAATTATCGCGCAGTAATTTTGCACTACCGAATGATGTCTTTAAGATATGATGGTGGTAGTGTCATAAGAGTGTAATAATAATTCGGAAAATAAAGTGATGTGGTTCCGCGCCATCGCCTCTTTTTGCATTTGCTGTAACAATAATTGGAATTGCGCAGTAAATATGCGCATGTTTGCAGGAAGCTATCTTCACAACAAAAAATCAGGAGGTATTTTTGTACCCAGATTAGGTTTTGAAAAGTCGCTCAGGCGTGAAGGCACTTCTATTGCAGCATTCGGTAGAAACGTCTTTATGCATCGGACAATGTCTTTCTTGACCCTCTTGGTGGTTTGTGTTAGATCTAATTTTTTTTCGCCAGGTTTCTGTCAACTGAAAAAGGGGAAATGGAGTTGCAGTGACATATATTGTGCAGGGGGAGGACAAGAAGAAGAGTCACTTCCCTCCACATTCAAAACGGATTCAAATACACGCTGCAGAGCCAGACCAAATGAGCTCAATTGAATAATAAGGGACTACTTGAACTCTCCCCTATGTTCTCTGCCGAGAAAGGCCAGAGCACAGACGATTAGAGAACGGTGCCTGGCGGCTTCAAATCCCAACCAAGAAGGTGAGAGCTCTAGGACTAAGCCTTGAAGGGAGGAGGGACTCCGTAGTGGATGAGCCAATTATATTGTGGCAAAGTTTGAATACATAAGATCACAGTAATCATAAAGCGCTGGTTAAGCGAGAGAGCGCCAAATCGAGGCGGTTTAAAGGGCCGGGTTCAAGTTGTCCGTAGACCATTACGACGTCCCCTGAAACGCTGGTCAAAAGCGGTCTTGCACAGTCACAGCTAGTGTCTCTAGAAGCTATTCACCAGTTAATCGATTGAAGAAATTATGTAGCAGCTTCAGGCCGGAGCGATTACGGTAAGCCTCGTTGAGCTCGACGGTGACGGCAGATGACGTCATATTCTGAAGACGGTGGGGGCAGTGAAGGAGGGCCTGCTTCTGCTTATGGGGACACCTAAGGAATATTCTGCCGTAAAACATTCATCAACAACGGCATCCTGTGCGACGAAAAATTTGATGATGTGCGCCATGGGCAAAGTGACTTTTTTTGCCCCCCCCCCTGTATTGTCATACTAAACATTAACTCAAATATGAACTTGAAAGAGTTCATCACTGCAAAAAAAACTTATGCGAAGTTGTAACTTCTAGAGCAAGTATGTAGAATAAAGACTATGATGATCTATCCTCCCTTTCAAAAAACGAGAAGAGCGTCGGGTGCAGACCATACACCACAAGTGACGACGGCCTCCACAAAATGTAAATGTTTTCTGCCAATGAAATGATTAGCCTGTTGCAGTTGTATTCTATCAGTTGTCACTAATTACAACTATCATTTACCAAAAATCAGCTATCACTATGAACCACTACTAACCAGATTTACCGGACCTGTGGTGTATGGTCTGCACCCGACGTTCTTCTGGTTTTTGGAAAGGGTGTATAGGTTCACACCATTCTCGTCAAGTTGTACTGGATCCAGCTTATTATGTGTTGATGAAACTATAGTCACTGTTAGCAAATGCAGGCGTTGGCCGAGTGGGCATGCAAAGGACTTTTGGTCATGAATTGAAGAAGTCAGCTCAGCAAAGTGTGTTCTCTCCTCAGGGGTATTTAGTGCACCTCTATCTAGTGTTAGCAAAGCAGAAAATAGTCGCTTAGCTTGTGGGAGTCATTATGCACATACATTCGGTTATCCTACGTGGAAGTCAAATGCGTGGCGCATACCAGGCACCACACCGTAGAAGGTTTGATATGGGCTTTTCTAACTGTTCGTTGTGCTTAAAGCTCGTCTGAATGTTAATTTTTCTCCTTGCAGCAGCTCAAGAACTTGGTTCCTTATTTAAATTTTTCTGAAATCTCAAGCATGAACATCATGAATTACTTAAATATGTAAGAAGCTTTTCGATGTAGCCATTCGTTTGATGGTGAGTCCATCTGGTTATGAATGTGTTTTTAATAATCGAGCTATACATTTTTTTTTGAAAATTAGCATTTGCACTGATTGTTCAAAAAATGGATTTAAAGACACAGTTCACGCTCGGCGTGTGGGCGGGGCTACATGGCACCGCCGGAAATTTTTTAGTCCAGTTCCTCGATTCAGTTAAACCACTGATCATACTCTTCTGTCTGCAAAGTTGCTTCGACAGTGTTACGAGTTGGTTTTTCATCCGCGAACATCATAAACTTGGAGAGATAAAGCGTAAGACATTGGTTAGAAGGAATGGGCCACGTTTCCTACTCTACCATTCCAATGGATATGTTTGGACTGTACATATTTCTCGAAAATTAGAATTTGCACTGGTTGTCCAGAAAAATAGATTTTCCCAGTTCGCGGACACATAATGGCCCCCTGGCTCACGGACCCCCGTATGTCTATATTGCGGACCCCACCACCGGACACTCTCGCCACAAACCCCCGAACAGCAACACTTTGGCTAGATCTATCGTAGAAAATCCAGTGTTTGTTTTTTTTTCCTTCTAGGGCGATGCTGCTCGCCTAACCTAGATCCTAGACCCGGTATGACCGCATCCTTGGGGTAGGCTGTGTTCAATCCTGTCTCTTGACCCTTGGCTGTGCTTATGATAAATGGCCCCTCTTGCCACTACTCGCAGTTCTGCCCAAAGAAGTTCTTGCCTATCGTCAATGGTCCAGCCAAGCTATTATTTTGTAATAGTCAGATTCCTGGCACAGTTTGGCACCCCTTTCAACGCCAAGTGAAAGTATAGACGGGTCGTACTCGGACGTTAACGTTCCCCATCTCTATGTATTAGTTTAGGTAGGCGATTACTGCACGTGATGAATCGTCCTCAGTTCTTAACGGTGCCAATGTGCCGGCTAGCGCCATCGTTTTTCGTCTTCGATTTTCGCAGCCAAGGTCGCCGTTGTCGTCATTGTCGACGCGTGGAACTCTCTTCGAACGCTCTCACTTGCAATCATCACATCACTTCGCCACTTCGCCCACCCATTGTTCGGTTAAGATTTCATATAACACGCCTATTTCTGATCATTGGATTTGCTGAATTCACTAGTCTGCAATTTCCTGTTCATGCGGGCGTTTGGACACTCTAATTTACATTTCTGAAATGATGCAGTGGAAAGCAAGCGGCTGAGCTAGCTAACTTCAACCTCAGCTCCTCTATGCCCTGAAAGAGCAAGGTTCTCTGGAGAAATCTATCTCACAGCTGCATTCAGGTTATTGCCCCTAACTTCGTAGTCCCGTTGGGTATAGCAAGGCGGAATTGATTTAGTGGCAATTAACAGCACTTTCCATGCACAACTTCTTAGGATGAAGCCGAAACCGATTCCTGCACGGGTCCACCAAACCTTCCATCACTTCGCTATTTAATTAGCACTAGATACGTCTGAAAGAATAAAAACACTAAAATTTACAACGCTAGTTTCAGCAATCGCTAACATACGCAAAAATATTCGAAACCAGTACGTTCTCGAGCAGAAGTGGAGTGCGTGGCGCAGCCCGAAATGCGATAGATTAGGCAACTGTCTTAGTCAGTCTTTTAATTTCCTAGCAATGATCCACTTTGGACCCACTAGTCGGGCCAAGCAGCAGTCCTTCGTAGAGTGGGAAAAAGTAGTCCCTAAGCGCAGAAGGAGCGACACTGTTGCGACTTAAAAGTGCAAGGCAACTGCAGGAATGCAACTAAGGTTTTGTCCTGTATCCTACCGTGCTATGGCGCTTGGGAATACGTGGCATTTGCGCCCACGGCATACTCTTTCGCGCACTATTCATTCTACTCGTAGCACTGCGTCTCTCAGTCATACCTCGGCTGGATTCGTGAGAGAATTTTCAGTGCTTTCTATAACGCTTTTTGCTTTGTTCGCTACAGCGTTCCTCATCACACTTACTGTCTAATTTGCGCAAAATAACGCAACAATTCGTCTCCACGCGCCTTTAAAGCAACAGTCCCAGCAGGGTTTTTACCTTCGACACTAATGGTGTGGAACGATGCGCTAGCCCTAGTCAAGAACATAAGAAGTGTGACTGAACAAAAAACTCACCTTGGAAAGCCGCTAGAAAGGGAGCTGAACAGCTTCGAAGTGGGCGTGGTTGTGCAGTCCCTCGGCCGATTCCAACCACGCCCACTTCGAAGCCGTTCAGCTCCCTTTCTAGCGGCTTTCCAAGGTGAGTTTTTTGTTCAGTCACACTTCTTATGTTCTTGACTAGGGCCAGCGCATCGTTCCATACCCTTCTGGGACTGTTGCTTTGAACTTATGGAGGGCCATCGACTAGGTGGTCAATTCGTGATATTCCAATTGTCATCGTGATAATTAAAGCAGAGTTTATAATGACCTTGTCGGGCGGAGCTCGGCTACATCTTCCACTCTTGTGCAGATTCTGCAACATGCTTAGGAACACTTTCAACTTCCGGATGCGAGGCCTTGCGCTTAATATTCCTGAAGGTCCCACAATTAGAAGGAAGCTTGTCCACATTACCCTCACCGTCTTTGCTATATAAAGTAGTTCGCTATAGCCACCGGACATCGAGGAGGTCTGAAATAATTGTTCCTGCTTGAGGTGCTTGCCTAATTTCTTTGATCGGTTTTTTGGTGGACAGTTTCTTAGAGATGATAGCTGTAAATGTGTGTAAGACTCCTCCTGAGCAGCATTTCAGACAACTCTGTAATAATCCACGATCCAAATTCTTCTGATGACGCTCGTGTAGAGGCTA